TGCGCCTTGCTTGGACGCGAGGAGCTCGCCGAGTTGCTGGTGCAGATCGGATGGTGGCACCTTAACCATCCCATACGCAGCTCTCCGCCGCTCCTTGCAGAGCTTGTTGGCAATCGTGATATCGCATCGAATCGTGAGGCGGTCGTCCTTGAGATGCTCCGACTTCTCCAGATCTGCCCTCCGCATGAACTCAGGAAAGTCAAAGCAGCAAGGGTAATCTGCAGAGATGAAGATCTTATCGAAGATCAGCACTGTGGTATGGGAGTGCGATGGCACCGGCTTCCCAGCTCGATCCAGCAAGCTAAACTTGACTCGCACCTTCACGCGGTCGGCGCCGTCGCTCTGCTCTAGGCCGAGGAAGATACCTATGAGGCTATGAGGCCATCGGCACTGTGAGGGCAACCGTTGAGGTAATATGAGATGTACCAGGAGCAACCTCCAACGGTGAAAGGGAGAGAGTTGGTGGAGTCTCCACGGCGCAACTGCTCCTTGATGTGCGAGTATCCCTCGATGTCCAGTATGTGGTGCCCGGTCACTTCGCCGCCAATGATGGCAGATCGCGCGTCGGAGGTGGTGCATGGCGGTGGCAGAGTCGTTATGGCGGCGGCCGGATCGATATGATTCAAGGGATTTGCTGGTATTATTACGGGAGAGAGAATGGCTAAAGTAACATCCTGGCGGCGCGACGAGGCTTTTCACCTAGCTAGGATATTGACGAGCGAACTGCCTAGGAGCGTGCCCTTTTTATTTGGGTAGCACTACCGCTAGGACGTCTGGCTGCTCCGCCCCGTCCGCTCAGATTCGCGCGCTACCCGCGCTAGCTCCGTTTCTTGAGCTCGCATCCGAACCGTCCGCTGCTCGCATCCGAACCGTCCGCTTTAGATCCGCTGCCCACGCTGCTCGGATGACTCATCCCCGCCTCTTTTCACACCGGCGCGGTGCCCGTCTCTTCCAAGCAGTCCGGAAGACTCGTCCCCGCCTCTTCCACAACAACACCGTGTGGCCTGTGCCTTCTCCCCACACCGCCGGCGACGGTCTATGCCTCCTCCACGCATCGGTTGGCCGCGGCTTGGCCCTGCCCGCCCTCATAGCCACCAACGCTGGCGGTCTGCACTTGCAACATGAAACACTCGAATGCAACATACATTTGAAACAGATGAAACATTTGGGACATACGCTTGCAACATGTATGTGAAACATATGCAACATCTAGATAAAACAATTGCAACATGAAAAAAACACTTACTGCAACATAAGACTAAAACAGCTGAAACATTTGGAACATACTAATACGACATATGTGTGAAAACACAAGCAACATCTAGATAAAAAAAGATTACAACATACGTCTGAAAACAGACGAAACATTTTGAATGAACACTTGCAACATGCTTCTCAAACACTTGCAATATGTGCAACATCCCCCGATCTACTTTTGCAACATCCATAAGAAACAACTGCAACATACCTTTGAAACAATTGAAACACCTGAAACATACACTTGCAACATAGGGAAGAGAAAGGCTAGGCCGGTCGATTCCAGCCATCGGGGTCGGAGCCGGCAGCGAGCGACAGCGCACGAGCACCACCGCCACCAATACCGGCCTTGGCTCGGCGGCGATGTTGGGGGATGGGGGGGCGAGGAGCGCCATGGCCGCCGTGGTGGGGGAAGCTCGGTCGTCGGGGTGAGACAGGGCGCCGCCAGGAGTAGGGAGAGTGCCCGTCGAGCTGGAGAAGAGCTGCCCACTGTTCTGCAACACCGCCACGCCACCTCTATGGATCTCAGTGGAGGCGAGTGGATCTCGCTCCTACTCCATGGATCTCACCGGGGTGGAGGATAGGGCCGCCAGATCTGTGCGTGTTGGGGGAGGACGCCGGCCGTTGGTGCGCTGCGGCAAGGGATGAGGATCGTGGAAGAGGTAACGGCACGAGCAGAGCGGAGCGGAGCGAGGCGTGCGGGAGGGGATTTTGTTTTTTAGGCGAGCGGCCCATGTGGCAGTGAGTGGAGCGAGACGTCCGGCCTTCCGAATGTCTTAATGGTAGCATTTCTGTCGGTATTGATTTAACAATTTTTTTACGAATGATTGATTTAACAATTTTTATTTAACTAGCAAATATGCTCGAGCGTTGCAACGGGTGTACCAACTATTATATAGTTATTTGGACGATTTGCGACTCGGAAGATTTATTCAACGATCACGTGCTCTATTCCAATTCATCTTGGATCAAACTCAAGATCAAACTCTATGTTGTGCCTAGAAGCACGCTCTAACTCATACTTGGGATTGGACAGCGCCGTGATTGTTTCATTCTTTCTAATTCATCTTGGGATTTACAATGTACAATACTTAGATACACGTTGCTCTAACTCATATAGATTGGAACCCTTTTTCAGATTTAAGCACGTGCTTAGTTTGGTCATAAAATGTGATGGGATAGGTTTCTTCCTATTTTTCCAATGGGTCATCGTGTTAAATTATTTTAACTGAAATAATGTGGCCCATATAAATTAAGGAAATTATTCTTATTATTAAATGTCTTATTGTGATGGTTGATAGACTTAGGGCATGTACAACCCATAGACAGCCTGCTGTCTGTAAGTTTTTGAAATTCACGCACAGACAGTTAAATAGACAGCTCGTACAATGGGTTGTCTATTTAACCGCTACAAGTTGTTTAATGCTTGTATGTTGCCACGATTAAACATGAATATGATCCTTGTATACCAGTGTATTGCTACTTAATACGAAACAGATCAAGCATAATTAAGTTGAATATATTTACAATATTTTAGACTAGTAATTACAGCAACATAATCAATCATGAATATATTTTTCCCATAGTGTCGTAATACTAATACGAGTAGGTTACCGTAATTTTTTATTTGTATTGAAAAAATAGCTTTTTTAAAAATACAAACAGTTCCACAAAATAAGATATAAGAACCTTCAAGGTGTGACATGTGTTTTATCTCTACTATAATGTATAGGACAAGTTTCTATAATATACCGGAAATGATACAATGAATTGAAATCTCTCGTAATTGTCTTCCTGTACTTTTCATGTACATTCCTGAAATGAAGCCGTGGCGTTAGCACGAGCACTATACTAGTCACTTCTGGTTGTAGTTCTGGTCGGGAGGAACCTAATAAAATTTGAATCATAATTTTTGGATTCAAATTTGATTATATATATATATATATATATATTGTAATTTTTAGTAAATTTGTGCATTCTTTGGAAAAGGACAAGAAGCTGACAAACACTTCCGTGGACAGCTGCGTCGCTCTCACCCACACGAGATCCGTTCGTGCGTAGTTCATTCCTTGGAGCACGGGCCGAAGCCGGCGCCTCACGAGACGACGACCCCGTGCCGTCTGCTGCTTGTGAGGGGTGTTTTTGCAAAATTTTCTAGACGCGGACGGCTCAAAGGGTCCCGTTGTACGTGCCCTTAAGAATAAGAATTATGGGTTGAAATACACTCTCCTCTCTCTTCAAATAAAATTAGTGTTTGCATTAAGACCCAAAAAGTTAATTGCTACCGCATATACTAAATAAATATGTGTTGCATGCATGCATGAATATGTGTGTGAAAGAGTCATGCGCTGCTTTGTGATCGTGCCTATTAATATTACTTAATTAGTCACCATGTACTAATGTTCATGCACATTGGTTACTAATTAAGTTATAGTGGGTAGAAGCTTAAAGATCATATGCATGTAGTACCGTGTGCTAATGTCATTGCATTACAGGAGTATTATTCATTACCACACACTAATGTCATGCAGTAGGGTCCTCATTAACGCCATACATATGTTGTATGCGTTTCTCATCTTGTGATTTGTGACCTTTGAAGCACCGGTATGGGTAAATAGAAGAAGCCTACGAGTGAAGATGTGATTACCGCCCTGTTTGATCCTTGGAATTAAATTTATTTTAATAATCATAATTTAGACACCTATTAATTAAGCTAATATAGTTGTATATATAGATTATGTTTGTATATTATTGTTAGCTATATGAAAGAGATACTTATATGTTGTATTTCTACCGTATGGAAGCGAGTTGAAGAGCGTGTTATAAGTTGTAAAGTAGAAACATAAAATGATAATCTATAGAATCAATTTTTATCTTTCATCCTATAAATTTGAGGCAGGCTTACATGTGAATTTTAAAAAGTGATGGAATGTCAAATTTCAAATCAAATAGCCTAATTTATTAATTAGATTTTAATTCGTGCAAATAAAAGGATCCAAACGGCAAAAAAGTACGGTTTACCGGCATGAAAAGACAACAAACAGCCCACGCAGAAACAGAAACAGCACACGTAGTGTGTGACGGCATCGGCCCATTACAGCAAACAGCCCACCAAGCCTAATTGTTTAATGCCAGATGCTCCCTCGACCCTCGCTGAGCCACTGGTGCAAAAGAGACGACCAGGCAAACAGCTTAAATTTGTATCTATCTGTATCTCTTATAATCCTAAACCCTATTATCAGTGTATCGTAACATATAAACTATCAACTCAGTAATATAGTATTATATGCAATTAAAATCCACTAGCACATTTGATGTCTTTATCCACAAGACACATAAGTACGTTAACATTACAAGCAATCTACTAGTATTAATCTATAATAGTTTATTTTTTAATACAAGTAATTATATAGTCTAATTTCATTCTAAACTATCCATAATTCCTGCAGCAACTCGTGGGATATTCTTCTAGTTTCTTCTGTCTACCCAGTGATGACAAGTTGACAACATGCCATCCACTTTCTGAGACAGGTACAAATAAAGCACTCTTTATTGGCCCTATTCGTTTGGAAGAATTTGAAAGAATCTAGAGGAATTTGTGATAGAGTAAACAGTGAATTTCATTCGCGCACACACCAATTGGTACACAGACATAGCAGTGCAGGACGATGTGAACACGTCCGATCCATATATGCAAAACACGTCCTCCATACGCCAAGTGAGCGACAAGGATGTCAGCCTATCTAGTTACAACTGCCCGTGCAGTCCCGTGCCGGGCAGAAGACGACCTTGAGCTCGCCGGGCGCGATGCATTCCTGCGGCGTTGCCTCGACGTCCGTAGAGGTTGTCCTCGTGTCGGGGCACTTGGCCTTGAACAGCGCCGCTTGCGCGCCCCCGGCTCCGCAGCCGCCCTGGGGCGCCACGGCGCCGGCGGGGCAGCACTCCTGGTCCTGGGTGAGGTCCACGGCACACCCCAACGTCGGGCACTGCGCCCCCTCCGCGAAGTCGTGCGGCGTCACCACCATGGGCACGTTGAACCCATCCACCAGGCTCACACTGTACACCGCCAGACCGCCGGACCCGCCCACGCTCACCTGCGCCACCGTCGCCGGCGGCGCGTTGCCGGTCTCGCACTGCGGAGCGCAGTCGTCATCGCACGCCGACATGCCATCGTCGTCAGCGCACCCCGTGCGCGCCACCACGCGGCCCGACCACGCGCCTTGCGGCAGCGCCATGGTCACCAGGCCCTCGCCGTTCCCGTCGAGTCGGGCGTCGTCAGTGCCGGCGACGGAGGGGTACCCGGTGTTGGCGGTGACGAGCGGCCAGACCGGGTATGGACAGAGGTTGTGGAGGGTGAGCTTGGGGCAGGAAGACGCGTCGTCGCCTGCAGCGACGGCGGCGTTGGCGAGCACGGCGAGCGCCATCAAGGCCAGAGTTTCCTGCGTCTTGGACAACGTGGCCATTGCTGCTGGAAATGCAAGCGCCGATCAATAGTTCAACCGAAGTGAGCATATATAAGAAAAATGTGGCTATTAATTTGCTCCAAATCAGAAGTGTACTGATTGGCTGGGGTCTCGATTTCGTGGCGGCTGGTGGTTGCCTTGGGAAGACCGGAAGAGGGAGGTTCCAGTTGCGTGTGGCAGCTGATAGTTCCCTCGGTGCACTACATGTCTTCAGCCCCCGAGGTTACGGCACAATTAGTTTCGTGATAGAAACACTAGTGGCAGGAGTTACGGCTCGATTACCTTCTTTTTTTTTGTGTTTCTTTGTTTTTTTTAGAAATGATCACAATAGGAGAGGTACCTGTTGTATTAAAAAGATCTGTACAAGGCCTTTTACCAAAAAAAAAACTTCTAGAAAGGAGCGAGGAAACCAAAGAACTCAAAAAACAAGTGTCTACCCAACAACCATGTATTTTATGCAGTTTCAACACATAAATTTTTTGTACCATAGAATTAAGATCCAACAGTCTCTATCCTTTTCTATCTCCAGTCTTTTTCTACCTCTAGCCTTCTTCTACCTCCAGACAATCACAAAATCACAAATCCACGGATTCACAGATCACAAAAAATATTTTTTTTTATGGAAAGACAAATCACAAATCGCAGCATATGAACGGTGCAGGTGGAGTACTGACGACCATCTGGACAAGTCCAGGTGCCGCCGTTCCCTGGGCAGCGAAACCATGGGCAGTGCTTGTAGCCTGGACAAGCCCGACAGGTCCAAGTGCCGCAGCTCTGTCAAGTACTGGAAGGACGTGGGCAGATCTTCCAGCCTCGAGCAGCGTGACAGGTCACAAGAAACAGGATGGCGTGGCGGGACCTGAGGGGCGAGCTCGCCGGAGCCGGTGATCACCAGTGAAAAAAGGGGAAAAAAATCTATATGTTTTTTTTCCCTAAAACACATATGTGTTATATAACATTTCTGAAAAACAAGAGGCGCTCAAGGCAGCGAAAAATAACATAATAATGCTCACATTCCTATCCTCCAGATTACCTAAAATCAATATATGAAATGGCCTTTTAGATGACTACCTTCAGTCAGGCTTTAGGACTTTCTGGTATTGACGTATCAAAATCCACGTTAACAATTGGGTTTTTTTTAACCATATACCATTACAATTTTGTGAGTTTAGAGATACGCCATTATAATTCATCTATTTAGAGAAGTGCCATTGTAATTCTATCTATCTCTCATTCATGCTATTTTCTAAGTCTCCCGCGTACATGGACCCACTGGCAGGCATGTATACGTACAGAAAATGCGTGTGGACATCAAGTCCCACCTCCTCGGTTAGAAGAAGCCCGCCCGCCGCGGCCAGCGCACAAGGCGGAGCTGCGGCCATTGTCCGCGGCGGCCAGCGCGCACGGAGGAGAGGTGGCCTGCGCGCGAGCAGAACAGCGGCGAGCGCCCACGGTGGCCTGCACCTGAGCGGCGCGATGGCGAGTGCGCGATTCGGAGAGTGCGACGAGCGCCCACGGCGGCCTGCGCAGAGGTCGTGCGAGTCCAGGAAGAAGCATGCGCTGATGGACGCCGCCGCGGCGTTGGTGATGAGCGCGATGGGCATTAGGGACTGTCGCGGCGAAGGCGCTCGCCTGGCCTGAGCTCTGGACTGCGTCGCTGAAGACGCTCACCCGTGAGGTCATGGGCATGCTCATCAACAAACCTAGGCCCGTGACCATGGGCAAATGGGACGCACGGCGCCTGTCCGTGGAGCAGGTCCATTACGCCTGCATCGACGCGTTCAATCATCGAATCCAATAGAGATCTTTGGCATCCTTGACCCCAAATCATCATTTTCTATGTTCATCTCAAGATTTGGTTGTCCAGGAGCCCCTCGAATCAAAATCATTTTCCACCTCAGACTTTGATCTCCCCGATGTCCATCCTTATTTCTTTGTTGATAATTCAAACCAAGGAGGCACTTCATCCCTTTTGGTTGACACCAAATGGGAGCACGAATCGTCTGAGGCAAATATCCCCATCCTAATGGAGGACGAGGATGGGAATCCACTCGTAGAATGCCATAGACAAGAGATGAGCGACGAATATGCTTGGTCTATGAACATTCTCAAGGGACCAAGTTTGGAGTCCAAAAAGGAGGATAATGTGGACGAACATCAAAGCTACATTCTAGAAGAGCCACAAGATCTATGCTTTCGTGAGAAATCTCCAGAGTCAATCTTTCCTTCTACCAACACCTCTGAGAGCTACACCCATCCTATGCTTCTCTTTTATCAAATCCTCAAAAGGATGGTTGTGGATGCTTTTGTCTATCACAAGTATTCCAAAGCTCGTAGTGGCCTTAGCGCAAGTTCTTGCAGCTAAAACTACAAAGGTCGAGCTTATGTCTTAAAACAAAGCACTGCCGGGAGATAACATGTTTGCTTGTTATTTTCAATTCAATAAAGTTTGTTTAGTTTCTATCATCATAAAATAAAGTAGTAGTAGTAGTAAATAAAAATAGTTTATCTTTCAAAAATTATGCTTTTCCCTTCAAATAAAATAGAGTGAACCCAATGAAAATTTAGCTTGATTGTTGCACCGGCTGATGTGCTCAAACATCGGTCGGGTTTGTAGTATCACCTTGCACTAGTCTTTGTTCTAGATATTAAAATAATGAATCGAGACTTTTGAGCAAGCATCAAGAGTGACATCAAGAAGAAAGAATTCAAGTCAAGGACAAGGTTTAAACGGGGTGCAATTCAAGAGTGAGGCTAATCAGGCATGCAATGCTTAGAAGCAAATGTGACGGTCCAATCAAAGTCATCATCACATCATGGAGCTGTCACATTTCAAAGCAACAAAGGTAACATCTCTAAGGTATGTTGTTAATGTTTAAATCATTACCTTTGATCCGATAAGCATGAAAATGAAGAAATTGATATGATTGAACTTGTTTAGTTTTGCTAATACAAGCTTTTGAATCATGTCTTCTTCATAATCATAGCCAACACATTTGAATTCATGTTAACCTGATATATGAAAGTTTACACAAAAGCTTGTGCCATATTTTGATATATATGGGGGTCAGCCGGCCTGGCACTAACATGAATCATCTTAAATTCTTGTGCACATGTTCTTTTATCTTGTGTTGACTTAATCCAACATTAAAAGAGTGTAGATTGAAATGTTAAAACGGAATGATCATGTTTTGTCTTTACATTCTCATCTCTAAAACAAATGCTTAAACATGAACCTCTTTTTATGCAACCTGTTGTCATGTTGAGTTTAGATAGATTTTGTGACCTTATGAACTAGTGGCACTTCAAATATTTGAACTATCTCCTTCATAAATACCCCTTTTTTGCCATTTTGTGATGAGAGACATGGAGCTATTAAAAAAAGTTGGACACATGAAGGTCCAAATAAAATAAAAAAAAAAAAAAAATATGGACACATGGAGGTCCAAGTATATTAAAAGTATATTATATGAAAAAAATAATAGCTCCATGATCTCAAATGTTATCATGTGGGGGGTCAATCATGAGGAGATCCACACACCACATTGCTTTGGTATGATGAATTGCACATATCACATACCATTCAAGGTGAGTTTATTTCCTCCTTTTCCATCATATATCATTTCTTCCAATGATTAGCTTGAGAAGTGTCACAACTTTCTCTAGGACCATTGTTTAACTTAACAATATACATGGCATATGTATGTTTCTCCTTCAACTTGATTTCCCCTTTGGCATGATAAATGTTTATGCGCTTTTGTTTCATTTCCAATCATGCTATACACCTCTGTTTGCTTTTCAATAAGAGGAATAAAGTTTTGGTTCACTAGTACATTTGTACTAGTAGAACCCTGTTGCTTTCACCCTTTGTGTCTTTGAATAAGCACAGTGCCGAAGGAATAGGTGTGGGGGTTGCGCAACCCAACCCCAGATTAAGCAACTTCTCCTCTGATGAAAAACATCGAGGCTACACACATAAGCACTTTATCAACATCAACTTTCTAGACTTCATCTCTATATGAGACGCTGGTTTGTATCTTGGTACCCCTCTCCTACATTTATCTCCTTGAAAATGAATGCATAAGAAGCCAATTTCTTCATGTTATTAAAACTTGATGAACTCTAAAACATGACCCCAAGATTTGATCATGACTTATCTTATGAGATTGGCTTGCATAATCTTTATTCCTTGTCTTTCACTTAATGCTTGTGGGAACCTTCAATTAAGACAACATTACCTAAGTTGTTGTGAAGTGTGATATAGTGATGACAAGACTAGTCCTTCCATCTAATCAAGTGTTTTGGAGAATTTTGTTTTGAACAAAATTTAAAACCATGGCTTCATAACTCCTCTATGGTACAACTGTCCTACTAGAGGCATAGGCAATATCTTGACAAACCCACACTTTCTTGCTGCTTAGATTTTGTTGAGTTTTGTCAAATCATGTGACCCTAGTGAGTGATGCACCATGCTTACATGATCAAGAGCACATACACTTCACCATATATGCTTTACTCTTACACCGATAGTAAGCAAAAAATGCTTTCCACACTTAGCTATGCTCTTACACTGAGAGCTAGCATAGATATGCCTTTTTACCTCTCCACAAACATTCCTTTCCACCTCCCCACAACCATGCTTTTCTACCTTTCCACAAAATATAGACTCCATGTATTCAAGATCTCTCTCCATTCTCCATACAAGTATGAAAAAGAGACATGGCTATATGTTATGAAACAAAGAGAGATGAAAAAAGAGAGTTAAAAATGAGTTGGAAAAGATGATAAAAAAGAGAGAGATGGGTAAAAAAAAGTGTCGAGCAAAAAAAAAGAGGATGAGCATCAAAGATAGCCCATGATCTCAAGCACCTAGATTTGGAGAGAGAATCTTTAAGGAGTTAATGCTTCCACTCATATCCACACACTTGCACTCTTGATCATAGTTTGTATGTTGTTTTCTTTCATGGATCCATTCTTTGACTTTACAATATAAACATTCT